TAGCTAAATTTCTCTAAAGTTCGCTAATTTTCAGCAGTGTTTAATGAAATTCGACAAACTTCTCTAAACTTCTACAAAACTAACTGAAGTTCTACAAAATTCACTGAAGTCCTATGAAGTACATTGAACTTCTACAAAGTTAGCTAAATTTCTATAAAATTTGCTGCTCTTCTAGAAAATTTCCAGAAATTCTACGAAGTTGAATGAATCTTAGTGAAGTTTCCGAAAGTTTTAGATGTTTTTTGAAGAACTATGAATTTCCTTGAAATTCTACAATGTTCCCTTTACTGTTAAGAAGTTTTCTGAACTTTTACGAAGATCTCTGAAATCAAATAGTGTTCTCTTAACTTTTAAGAATGACCCTTGGCTTCTTAGAAGGTCCCTGGACTGCTGTCAAGACTCAGTATAAATCTGAAATATTGAACACCTTCCTCCGCCCGAATATTTTAAAAGTAGCGGTGAAGACATCTCGTCGATCTCATTCGACATCCCTGTTCCGAATAACTCCCGTATGGAACGTGATGAGGGCATCGTAAAAGGGAAAGAGGACCGCAAAACTGAGAATTCATCACCTAAACAAAAATCCAGAGTACGGCTGTGAGTGTAATTGAATATTTGAAACTTCAAACATGCAAACAAAAATGGGGTAAAAGAATCAATGTTCCGCCAGACTTTGACTCCATTCCGCTTATAGTTGCGGTAGGATTCCTTTTAAGGTAAAATCCATCAAAACCCACGTAACATTGCAAGTTTTATCGAAGTTCTAACCTTTTAAGAGGCAGTGGCAACTACAGGGCGATTCAGAATAACTTCATTTTCAAAAATTGTCATAACGATTGAACGCTTGCCTGAATTTTTGATATCAATATATTCCAGATATCCTACATATGTAACGTTCAACTTAGCATACTTCAATTCAAATCTCTCAACCTTTACCTTTAATTATCAGCAATATTTGTCACGAAAATGAACAACAGCTGGCACCCTTAGTCTTAGTTCCAACACTTTTGGAGTCCTGACGATGCGTCTAAGCTCTGATATTGAACGGATATTCCACGCATGGTTCTTTTTTACCTCTAAAATGAGCGAAAAATAAATGTTTCAATCTTTCGAAGAGATTTCAGTTTCTAAAAGATAGCACACGGATTATCGTAAAATTTGTATTTGCCGCTGAACTCTTTTAGAAAATCTGAAAAAATATTATAAAAATAATAATTCCATTACGACCGGCTTTGCAGCCACAGGACACACCTAGACACAGGAACTAGTTTTTGAATTCTCATGTGCTTTAAGGTATTTCATGAAAGGTTTTCAGCCTAGTCATAAACTGGCCACTTCCCTGGGAGTACCCGAAACATGGCCGGATATGGTCCTGAGCACACCACATGACTACGATTGAATTCTCATTTGATGAATTTTGCCCATAGTAAGAGGGCGTGCCGGAACATGGCCAGTATGGACTGACTACTTCAAATGACTGCCATTAGACTGACTGGTTTATGAATTCTCATGTAACTTAATGTGTCACATGATGGATTCTGATCGTATCAAGTCGGATTTAAAGGTTGAACACGAAAAAATCCGGAAAGGAAAATCTTGTTGGGGTTTTAAAATGCGTTTTATTTTTCATAGTTCAATGTAACAGCTATACATAAGTAGATATTATGTTTATTGTAAGACCATTGTTTCAGTCTTCCTTTTTACAATAGGCCATTGCTCGAACTTTTCTTCGTATACGGCCTTTATCTTTTGCACGAGCCCTGTTCCCACTTGTTTGGCTACCACATTCCAGTTCCGCTTGAATTCCTTCAGGATCAGGTCAATTGCTGTTCCACCCTTTTTCTTCTGTATGTAGTGCCAGCTTGCGAAGTCCGCCCAGAATAAGCAATCCAACCCATGCTGCTCCAGAAAGGCAGTAGTCTCTTCAGTAGACACTCCTCTAGGTAAATTTGCTGGATCATGGTCCCAGAAGTAACGGAAGTTTCGCTTTTCAGCTGCAGATTGCTTGGGGGATTTCAACTTCTTTTTTGTTTAACATTCTTCCGGTCAACTGAGATATAAAATTCCTGCCCAGGAATTTGATCGGAAACTTCCAGGAGCGGATAGATCGGGATTTTAGTTTCGAGCGTGCAGGATGGAATAGCGACTTGCTTGCTCCGGTGAAGCCATGATGAAAACAAATGAACTTATCTTGACAACCAGTGCCAACTGTGATTCTATACACTCTTAGCTTGATTTAGTGAAATTTTGAAAAAAATTACTCAAAAAATGCTAATGACAGCGTTTTTAATGTGCCGGATTTTGTTGTGTTCAATCTTTAGTTTAATGGCCCATACACACCAGCCATATCTCCGGAACTAGTAGACTGATTCCAAAACATTTCAATGCCGTTTTAAAGCACCATAATACCTTTCATTTGATGGTTGTTGCGTCCAGTCCAATTCAGTTCGGTGGTTGCCGAGAATCATGACCAACAATATTTTCGTTAGACACATAGACATTTTTCGATCTCGTCGAGCTGAGTCGTCGTTTTTCCAAGCGGTATGTATACCTTTCTTTGTAAGAAAAAATTACATCCCTCTTCACTTTTTGAGCATGACATAAATATTTAGTAACACCAACTGTTTCTTGTAAAAATTTAAACACAGAGTAAACTATATTAAATAATGGTCAACAAGTCCATTCCATGCTTATTAACCTCATTAGAACCACGATAAAACCCACATTGAGATAAACGTAAGAAAAGGCAGTAGTAATCAGAAAAGACCCACTCGAACTGTTGAATAATATTAGAATACAGTGAACTATACATGAAAAAAAATAGAACACAGGGACCTCAGATGGCATAGTAAATGCACAGTATCTTCTTTACTTTCTAGACTTCCCTATGGAAATGCTTACCACAAAATATACAAATACATGCATTGGTTAGCATAGAAAGCTCTCAATTAATAAAAGTGCTTCGAAGAACACTAAGTTGAGAGCCGCCAAATCATTCGCATAAGAAGTGTCAACAGTCACGAAGAAGAAGAATCCTCTAGAAATTGTGAAACGAGAATTAGAAAATCTTAAGAAAACCATCCCATTGACTGGAGAAAAATGCTCATCCTTATGAATGTTTTTGCACAGTAACATTAATGTCCCAATTTTTTCACAAGCCGGTGCCGATTTCCTCGATATCACTAAGTCTGGGATCTATGAAAAAGTCATGTAAATTTCGATGCCCGACACATGCAAGTTACCCGTATGACATAACTGACATAAGAATCGGGTGAAAGAAACGAAAACATTAATTAAATCAAACGCATTTTTCGACGACTTGCGTATATTTTGGTTTCGGAACATCAAATTTTACGTGACATGTTTAGTTGCGATCCATGATTTACGTCAAAGGTGAATTACGTCACGTGTAAAATTATTCAGCCCATATTCTTGTTTTTGTTCGAATCGTATTTTCCATACAAAAAAAACTATTTGGTATGGAAAATACGGTTCGAACGAAAACGAGAATATGGTGATTAATTTCTAAGTATAAAGGAGATGCACGGTAGTTGGCACCCACCGTCGCTTACATGAAACCTACCGCGCCTCGCCACGCATATAAGGAAATTTATGAACGGAACAAATGATTCCCCAACTTTCAGACAATTCCAAAACATGAACGTCACATCCAAACCATTATTCCGTAAACTTTTGCCGTTCAAAACTGCAAGAAAGCACCTTCCAACACCCAAACCGACCCCTTCAGACTTTAATCCCTCGACAAAGTTTCATTCGTTTCATCCCATTTCGAAGCAAACCATAGCCCAGAGAACTCCAAGCAGCAAGTTTTCGGTCCGACAGAGAATCCAAATAATACCTTTCCCACCGACGACGACTCACTCGAAAACAAACCCCAAGGCTGGAGGAAACAGTCAAAACTAAACCCGCCAGCCACCGACCGACCGAACGACGGCAACACTTGTGTTGTAGGTTGCTCGTTCGTTCGTAAAGAAGAAGTCACGGTAAAACATGGAACGCCGCCGTAGTATTGGTCTCGGGCGACGGATGACATTGCACTGGGATTGGTGAGAGCGGAACGTGTTTTTTGTTATTATTCTGTCGAGCAGTTGCTGGAAGTGCGAGCGCGGAGTGGAAGAAACGAAACGTGCGGCATTGGAATGAGACGGTTTCCCGGTTGCCAGCGTGGAGAGTAAACATAAATGTGGATGGGAGAATTGCATAAAAACGGCGCAGCAGCAGTTTGGCAGCGCTGCTGTCGTGTGCTAATTTCTGTTTTTCGGAGTTTTCAAGTATTGTAATTTATGGAAAACCGGTTTACACCGTGTGTGAGTGAAGTGCAGAGTGCAGTTGTCGGCTGACGGCAGTAGGCAGTAGCTGAGCTTCTTGGGTATTTATAAACACGATCGTGAGGGGAAGTTGAGGAGTATGGGGTGGCATAAGTAAGGTAAGAATGCATCATGATCATCGTGGTCGTAAAAACGAAGCAATTTCAGAGTATTTCAGATGGTGGGCCGTGCTAGGGCAGTGAGCAGACAACATGCCGCACCAAGAGAGATGACACGCGCACTGCTCGCGACATCGACTAGATTGTCGTCCGTTCCGTTTTCATGTTGCTCTGATAGCCACGGCCGGTTTGACAGGTCTCTCTTTCAGAATGCGACCGTCAACAACCCAGTGTGATAGAGGAATTGGATGCATGGGAAATAGAAAATACTGCGATGATAAGAACAACATGCACACACACAATCACACATGGCTCAGATACCAGCTGAGTAGGGTTGCCAAATGGTTGGGAAGCTATTGTTTACTGATTATGTTGGAGGATAATTCGGAAAAAGATCGATATTGCAGCTGGCAACGCTGACATGTTGACACATGGCTCCGTCCCAGGATGAAACGAACCACGACCCGAAGCAGAACGATGATTGTGAACTGATGATAATGGATGAATAAACAAAATGCAAGATAAAGCGAGATAACTGAAAAACTAAACAAACCTTTTCGTGTAAAACCTAGAACCTCTCGGTCTTTCCATTTTCAAAGATGGTAAACAATAAACTCATATGGCAAATTAGGTAACACATAAAGACACACAAAAACACAACCGGATTAATTCAGAAGAAAACAAATCAATCAATCAGCAGTACCCGAAAGCCGTAGAAGACGGTGCTCGGTATGGCACAAAGTTATCGAATATCCTTCCGAGCACGGAACGGTGCAAGTCTCACTAGAAATCTTTCTCCGTTTCACCGACGTGTGAGGGCGCTCTCTCTCTCTCTCTCTCTCTCTTCAGCTTTACTCAGCGAGGATAGGAACACTGGTGATGGTTTGGGGTAAACCGATTTCCCATTGCTTCTTCACAGTTTCACTAGAACTGCACTTTTCATTCTCGCTTCAAGGATGTTGGATCAATATTCCACCAAAAATTTATGAATCACTTTACAGTATAATTCTTCTCATTGACTGGGCACCTGGATAGTATCCAATTATCCAATGAAAGGGTGTAATGGAACTACTTGGTGGATCTATTCTTTCTCAGACTAGCACTAAATAACCAAAATTTTCACAACAGCACTTCGCGTATCCCCGAGAGCTGATTTCGTGCGGACCGACAGGAATTGCTGAAACGAACTGAAAATTCAAGTTCTCGTTGTCTCGTTTGGGCTACCTTAGACCTTCGATGCCTTGCGCGCTCCTTCCACCCCAGACCATATCATAATCGCACACAATCTCACTCCATATCACCAATACCACCGAACAGCCCCAGGTCAACTTCCCTACAGCACTGAGCATATAAGCAGCATATAATATAAAAATGTACAGCCTCAGCTATACGCATGCGCTTTGGCAATCACAAACACCACCGAAATACCCCTCATAACATTTGTTTTTACCCATCTCGAATACCTAAAATAACCGCCATTGGCATCCAGCAAACCACTACAAACTTCTCTTTCCCTCCAACGTCGATCACCCTCCTATTTACCACACAACCAACTCAAGCTCCACGATCCAGACAAGGACAACCTCATACATAACCCAGTGCGACATCTGGCGCAGTCTCACCAATACTCACATCCATGAAAACCAACCGTCATAAAAAATATATTCAATAGCATTCCTTTCCCTCTTCACCATCTCCTAGCCCATTGAACCATTAGCTTCTTCGCATCTCATCGGCTTCTTCTTGCTCTTCCATTCGTTTCATTTCAACCACGCCGACGACGACAACGACGACAAGCACGGAAAGCAACTTCACAACCCACCAACCGCCTCCTCCATTGGTCCACCTCCTCTTCCTCCTCAGCCTCCTACAACAAACCGACATCGGTAGCCCACCAGACCGGAGCATGTTTCATGTTTCGGAGTCGCTCTTCGATCCATCCCATTCTCTCTGCACATTGCCGCGCTGCCTCCACCTCCACGGTCAAAAACGTATGGTTATGCGCATAAATCCACACGTTAATGAAAGAGTAAAAAAACATCAACCAGAGAAACCAAATCACAAACGAACCTCTCCCTCCTCTTCGGTTTATCGATAACCATTCATCCGTCTGTCGCCGTCCGGTTTGACGGTCCGAAATGCGCGGATTTCGCGATCGGGAGTTGATTTTTCCGTCATTATTTTTTTTTTCCTGTGCAGCGTGGTTGGGTTTCTCCGTATTGCAGCAATGCAGCATAGCAGCAGTTTGCCTCTTAGTTGCACTGACCCAGCTTGGAAGCGGTACGGTGGTGGTGATGCCAAATGGCACAGTGGGTAAAGTGGTTACCGAAATGGTTAATTTATGTATTTTATTTTATTTCTGCATCAACTCGTGCTCGTGGCCCCAATGATTAATAATAAAAATAAACTCAAATCTAAAACCTACTCGTAACGATTTGATCTCCAAGCAAATAGAGCGGAACATTTTCGTCGCTGTAACTTACGTGACATGTGAAAGTCAAATCTGTTGAATAATCATGAGAGGAAGTGGAAGTGGTTCAAGAGACGATAATATTACCTGAAGTTGCGATGATGAAGGTATGATCACAGACAAGCATACACAACACTCTCAAAATGTTCATCGAAATCGATTTTAACGGTAAATTTAAATGATTGTTAGTTGGTAGTACCGCCACTTGTGGCGCGCTCAATCAGTTCCCTTTCGTTTGACGTTTACACACCTCAGCCATATGTTGAGTGTATCACTTTCAGAAGTACATCACTTCGCAACCGATGAACCATTCTGAGTACTCAAGTAACCATATAGTCGCAATATAAAGGGTGATACGGTCAAAATTTGGTCAATATCAACTTGACGTATTTCTTTCAATTTTGCATTTAAAAAACCTGAACACCCCTCATTTTGAAGGTGTGTGTGTGTAGAATGTTGCTCCTATTTTGATTTTGGAATTCACTCTACACGACGATGCTGACGAAGTTTGACTGCGTGGTAATGGACGACGAAACCTACGTCAAAGCCGACTACAAGCAGCTTCCGGGACAGGAGTTTTATACGGCAAAAGGAAGGGGAAAGGTAGCAGATGTTTTCAAGCACATGAAACTGTCAAAGTTCGCAAAGAAATATCTGGTTTGGCAAGCCATCTGTACCTGTGGCTTGAAAAGCAGCATTTTCATAGCTTCCGGGACTGTCAACCAAGAAATTTACGTGAAAGAGTGTTTGAATAAACGTCTGCTGCCTTTCCTGAAGAAACACGGTTGTTCCGTACTGTTTTGGCCGGATTTGGCATCTTGCCATTACGGTAAAAAGGCCATGGAGTGGTACACCGCCAACAACGTGCAGGTGGTTCCCAAGGACAAGAACCCTCCCAACACGCCAGAGCTCCGCCCAATTGAGAAATACTGGGCTATTGTCAAGCGGAACCTAAAGAAGACCAAAAAAACTGCTAAGGGCGAGCAGCAGTTCAAGGCAAACTGGCTTTCTGCGGCGAAGAAGGTGGACAAGGTGGCTGTACAAAATCTGATGGCAGGGGTCAAGCGTAAGGCCCGGCAATTCGGATTTGGAAAAGCGGAAGCCTAACTGAATATTTTTCCTGAATTTTATACTAATTGAACTTGAAAAAGAAATTTAATTTGATTTTTTAAATAAACGATTTCACCGATTTACACGCGTTTTCCCTTGACCAAATTTTGACCGTATCACCCTTTAGCTTTGTATATACTTACTTTGGTTGAGTATGCACACTTACTAATAACTACTTTTACACGAGACGCAATCCATATTGGATGAAAACTATGGAACGTAAACAAACATTTCATGTAAAAATAAGTATTCTCAAACCCAAACATAAGCAACTCGACGAAGAGAACGTTTGATTGAATTTATTTTCTCGTTCAACTGATTTTAATGTCAAAAGGGCCACTTACATGTGTCGGTAGTGTGTACGAAAGGGATTACTTTTATAGAAGTGATAGTTTGATCGGATTCCTCTACTAACAACTGTTCATTGCATTCCAAGCGGAAGCTTAATCATATTTTGTCGTGGAGTGTTGTGGTTTTGAGATGCTCGATTACCCTGGAGGGATCGTTTTTGCTTACTGAGCAGAGAATCATGGGAAGTATTATATTCTCATACTCTACATATTTTCATATAAACATATAAATTCATTCGATGGGACCATCACCTGATTGAAGCGATTAAGATGGGGAGAGTGGAATTGTTAACATTTCGTGAATTGAAGGTGGGCTCTTCTCCCCACTCATTAGGACATCCCCACGGATGATGGCTTGTTCTGTATCGGATTGGAACATTGTTATCATTGGAAAGAGATTCTTCCAGCTCCCGTGAATTTCACGTAAGTGTCTCTACTTACGGGTCCGCCCTCCATTTTTGGCCCTTCGTAAAATGGTAAATAGAATACAACCAGGTATCGTACTAGAATACGTCATACGACGTGGGCAATCCACTGTCTAATGGCTGTGCCCTGCAATAATGAGTGGTATCTTTTACATACATTACATACATACAAATGATCATTTCTAGGATAACACAGGTTCTTTGATGGGCTATCCAGCTAGGTATCGAATTCTCCACGGAGAAAACTGAGTTGGTCGTTTTTTCTAGGAAGCATAGCCCAGCACAACCAAAGCTTCAACTTTTGGGTAAACCGATCACTCATTCTATGTCCTTCAAATATCTTGGGGTCTGGTTCGATTCAAAATGCACCTGGAGATCCCACATTGAGTATCTGAAGCGGAAATGCCAACAAAGGATCAATTTTCTCCGAACAATTACCGGAACGTGGTGGGGAGCCCATCCGCAAGATCTTCTAACGTTGTACCGGACAACGATTTTATCGGTTTTAGAGTACGGTAGTTTTTGTTTCCAGTCGGCGGCTAAAACGCACATCATCAAACTGGAACGGATCCAGTATCGCTGTCTTCGTATCGCGTTAGGATGCATGCACTCGACTCATACGATGAGTCTCGAAGTGTTAGCGGGCATGTTGCCACTCTCTGATCGGTTTTCGGAATTATCCCTCAGGCTCCTCACCCGTTGTGAAATTATGAACCCACTGGTGATTGCAAACTTTGAGAAGCTTCTTGAGCTAAACCCTCAAACTCGTTTTATGTCATTGTACTACGTGTACATAACACAGGATGTCAGCCCTTCGCAGCATAATCCCTATCGTGTTTGCTTCTCCGACTTCGACAGTTCTGTTCATTTTGATTTATCAATGACGCAAGAGATTCGCGGAATCCCAGAGCATCATCGTTCCATGATTGCTCCGTCAATTTTCGCTGCAAAGTTTGGCCAAGTTGATTCCGCAAGATCGTTCTTCACAGATGGATCACTAATAGAGGCGTCCGCTGGTTTTGGTATTTATAACGAATTTCATAGCGCCTCTCTAATGCTTCATGCTCCTTGTTCCGTATATGTTGCGGAACTGGCGGCAATACATTATACGCTAGAAACGATCGCCTCACTTGCACCAGATCATTATTTTATTTTTACGGATAGTCTCAGTTCTGTCGAGGCTATTCGCTCCATGAGGCCGGTAAAGCACTCCTCGTATTTTCTCACGAAAATACGAGAGCTTCTAAGTGCTTTATCTTTAAGATCTTTTGTCATCACCTTTGCATGGGTCCCATCTCATTGCTCGATTCCGGGCAATGAGAAGGCGGACTCGCTTGCAAAGGTGGGCGCTATGGAAGGCGATATTTACGATCGACAAATCGCCTACGACGAATTTTTCTTCATTTATCGTCAACAGTCACTCGCCAGCTGGCAAAATAAATGGAGTGAAGGGAGTTTGGGACGATGGTTGTATTCAATTATCCCTAAGGTGTCGAAGTGTCCTTGGTTTAAAGGTTTGGAGGTGGGTCGAGACTTCATTCGTGTGATGTCTCGCCTCATGTCCAATCACTATTCACTAAGCGCTCACTTGTTCCGTGTTGGGCTGGGGGACAGTAATCTCTGTGAATGTGGACAAGGTTACCAGGACGCAGATCACATTATTTGGTCATGTGCTGAGCACCGTGGAGTCAGATCCGAGTTGTACGATTCCCTTCGGGCTCGAGGTAGACAACCTAATGTTCCAGTTCGGGATATTTTGGCTAGACGCGATCTGGAGTTTATGCAACTCATATATGTTTTCTTGAAGAATATTAACCATAGATTGTAAGTTTGATTAACCT